AGCAATTATTATTATAGCAAAAATAACATTGATAGCATATTGATCTATGATGCATGAGACAGTATTTTGGGGGATTTTAACTCATTCAGTCTTTGCAATCTTGTGAAACATGTATCTTATTATTATCATCATTTTACAGACGAGAAAACTGAGGCTCAGGAGGTTTAAATAAATCAGTGAGCACACATAGTTGGTAATATCTCAATCTAGAAGGTCTAATTCTAGAGCTCTAGCTTTTAGGCACCATGTTATGTTGTCTGATTATTTTTTCTTCACAAACATGTTGCCACTAAAATAGTAAGAACAAAATTTTTAGAGAAAGGGGAGTCTCTTGGAGTTTGACAGAAACATATTTGCATAGCAGATCATTGTTACATTTATTCTAGATATAGGTTCAGTTAAGGTTCTTGAATTCTGGAAGAATGCTTTTGAAGCTAAGATACGCATACACTCCTTTAATGTAATGGTGGTGGTGATGGCTGATGGTGGCAAGAATCTAAATATTTTTTAGAGGCTGAAATGACAGAAAAAGCCTCTAAAAAAACTCCACATTGTTCTGGACAATAATAACACTTCTTTCAGTGATGGACTTAAGCCATTTATATACATCATTCCTGAAATTTTTCTTATGAAATTTGGCTTGCACTTTGTGTTTTCCTGCCAGGGTAACTATGAGGGCAGAATATCATACTGGATATGAAATCAATTTGAAGATTATAAAGTTGGCTTCAAATGAAAGGCTGATTATTTTAGTAAGGCAGTAATATTTGTTCTTGCAGCAGTTTCATTTTATGAAGCATGTAGTCTAAAGCTTCAGACATTTACATTGATGCCTTGACTCTCCCACTGCTTGGAAATGCCATCTTCTCCCCAAAGTCCTGCTTCTCCAGGCACTGAGCCTGTGCTGTTTGTTTAGTTTTGAGTGTACACAATTGTCCCTTCCAGAAAACTGAGTGTCCCCAGAGCCAGGAGTTATTTTCAATTAAAGCTTTTCTCTCTCTTCAGAGAGCTCACTATACATATGTGAAATCATTGATATAAAAAGGATGTAATTCGAGAAGACAGAGACTATGTCTCCCATATCAATGTTCCTATATTTTACCTAAGTATAGTTTGCTGATAGTGGAGCCAACTGGATTACTAAATACATATATTAAATATCTAATATTCAAAAAACCAACACATAGTGTTGCCAGATATTAAATTAGGAATGTGACCATAAAGCAGTGGAACCAATTTTCACTTATGATTTGTAAAACCATTCTGTTTATTTGACAATCATGCCTTGTAATGAAGAGGATACCTAGCTGTCATATGCTAGTACTTAAAGCTTTAATGAATAAATTATATATAAAAAGAAAGCTGAGCTCTTTTGCTGAAAGGGATACTATAAAAAGAATTTGCATTCTGGAAGACACAATGTGAAGACATACATGTCACACTGAACACATTAGAAAACCCAATCTCAAAGAACATGAAAATGATATATGATAAATGGAAGATAACAGAAATGAAAGCATTACAAATTATTGCCTGAAGGTAGTGGCTATAAACCAGACATGTCTGATATTAAATTAAGTTCAGTTATGCCAAAAGTGTTTATGAAATTGTCTAAGCAGCTTAAAAGTCAAAGTCCTATACATACAAAATCTTTATTACAAGCTTTTGAACTCATCCAACAAATTTTAAATTCCTTATTATGTTTTTGTCTCCAAAAACTGAAAAATTTTCTAGAAATTCTCCTGCCTGAAAAATTCTCCTGCATCTAAATTGATTAATGATAAAAATGAAGACATGCTAATAAGTCTAGGAAGGGTATATCATTATGCAAAATTGCACAAATATAATCTGTATGTCAAATAGTAATGAAACACACATTCTTAGCTCTAACAGGAAATGAAATTCAAAACCTCAAATTTCTAGGTTCCTCCACTCCAGTGGAGAGTTTATAACCTAGGAAATTTTTAAATACTATTATAAAATCAACTTGTAGCATTATTTTATGTCATTTGCCCAATCAATATTATTGCTAAACTAAGCAGTAGTAGTAAAAGTTATATTATACACTTTGTATTAACATGTTTAGTACTATTCAGTTGTATCTGAAATACAAGGATTGTATTGCTCAAAAATAATATTCTAAAATATTGGTAAAATTACCCTGAATGTGTTAATTTCAGAAGAGAATGAAAAGAAAACTTGTGTAGTCAGCAGAACTTGGCATAGTTGGCAGCCTCCCAACTATGGATGATGTGGATACACTATTATCTTAGTGGGATGCCAACATTATGTGTAATTATGTAAAGTCATGGTGTTGAGGTCAAACTCTCAGTTCTGACATCACTGAATGCCTGTAAAAGATGAACAATCACAAAGAAGAGTATTTTCATACCCAGCAGTTAATATGATCAGGCAATTGTAAGTGAATGAATGCTACTGTATCAGTGATCACGTAAGTGGCTGGTCAATATTGATTAGCAAATACCATCTAGATATCTGGATTTTCCCCTGGCATGTTTTGGGATGAGGAAAATGACATAAGATGTGACTTCACAGGTTAAGAACACGTTTCTCCCTGCAAGGGGCTTATTGTACCTAATGACTGTTAAGGATTTATCAATATTTTCTACAGTTTTTGCAATCCTGGGTGGGTTTCCGACCTAAATATATTCTTTGATTTATAGTTTTCATTAGTTTGTAAATACTTGTATAGATAGTAAGATATAATGTCCAAGAGAAGAAAACTGGGCTAAATTGTCCAATATCCCTCCTGGGATGGAGATTATGCATAAATATGTGTATATGCAACATGCACATGCAGATACAAACAAATACATACATATCTTGCCTTTTTAAATGGTATTACCTTTTTTTTTTTTTGCAGTACTGGGGCTTGAACTCAGGGCCTTCTCCTTGAACCACTCCACCAGCCATATTTTTATAAAGTGTTTTTCAAGGTAGTGTCTCACAAACTATTTGGCCAGACTGGCTTTGAACCTAGTGCCTCCTGATCTCTGCCTCCTTAGTAGTTAAGATTATAGGCATGAGACACCAGCACCTAGCTAAATGGCATCATTACCTTTTATATAATTAAACTTTTATGGCTATTTGCTTGTGCCCCCTCACATTTCAGAAAATTTCTAGAAGTTTTCCACTATGAAACTGCCATTTCATTGTTAAGCATGAGGTGGTTTCAAAGGTATTTTCGGAGCTACTATAAACCATGCTAAATATTATCAATAGTTTCAGTTTTTCTAAAGTTCCAACAAAACCCCTATATTTCATAAAACATCTCACTGGTAACTTGAAATTATCCAGACCTCTAGAAGTTCACAAAGTCATAATGTTGACTATTTTTGCCAGCCAAAACAGCAATTTTATTGTTCATAGCCTTTAAAAATAATTTTTATGGATCTATAACAGTTCCCAAATCAATCTCTAGGAATTTCTGGCCTTTATACTGTTTGGTTAAGAGAGGGCTTTATATATATATATATATATATATATATATATATGTCTATATCTATAGATATATAGAGATAGATATAATATATAGATATAGATATACCACTATTTAAATGAATGCACCAGACAGCAAACTCTTCCTGGTAAGGAACTCTACCCTATATCTTGCTTATATATGCCAGCACCTTGAGAGCAAAGCTGTTCATGTATAATGCTATTTAATATGCCTGATTAGCTATACAAACAATTGTGATTCACCACAAAACCAAAGTTATTAAAAAATAAAGCTAAAGCTACATTGATTGGTGGGATTCAGAAAAGCAAGAGGTTTTTCTAGTCCCTTACTTATTTTTACTCCCATATCTGAAATCCTCATAGGCCCACTATGTTCTCTCATGTCAGAAGCAGTATTTTACGATTGTGTCTCCAGCCAGTGTTAAGGAAAGAATAATGCAAGTTCAATTAGAGACATTATGCTCTACAACCTTCTTTTGTGCTATTGAAGTCCATCTTCCCATCTATCAAAGGCAGAAATGACAAAGTCCAGCAGAAATGGACAAATATCAAAAATAGCTCTGAATTATTTCGCTTTTATGGAAGGGGATTTCTCCTGGCCTCTGAGGCAACAGTAACTGTTTACTGCACCATACACAGTCCCAGGGAGTTCCTAATGTACTGACAGGTATCTAATATCAGGGACTCCTCTGAGTTCAGCTGAGAGGTAGAAATGAGTCCACATTCTCAAAGAGGGTTTATAACCACATAGTCTTGGAATCCAGTGACCTCTGTCACCAAGATATATTTCTTTTTCTAATTTTTATTGGAAGATGTCACTTTTAAAATTACTATTTCAAGCAAATGCAAAATGAGTATTCGTTCATATTGCTTATACTACATTCATGCAATGTGTTTAATATATGAGCTCATACAGAAGTGCTTTCATCATCTTCTTCCACACTTATCTGTGTATGTATATATATCTCTATATGAAGTGTGTGCAAATAATAAAAATACCTAAATCATTATCATTATCCTAATATGTACTTAAAACTACAGAATCACAGTACTACTATCATATTATTTATTTCACACACACACACACATATATCCCAGTTTCTTTTATATGTATTTACATTTAAATTATTTTTAAATGTAAAAATTTACATTTAAATTATTGCAATTATAGTTAGGATGCATAATTAAGTTAGCATGCACTGCTCAGAATGAAGGAAATAAAGATTATAAAAAGTCATCTGGGTAAACAGTTCTTTATGCTTATTAAGTAAATGTGTTTACTTTCAGTTGATAGGAAGAGGATTTCTGAAAAGTCATTTTGTATTTATTTTTACTGTATTGACTGCATGGCACAGCACACTTTGTTGCAAATCCTGGCAGGTCTATATGAAGGAATTTTGTAATGACTCAGAAGCAAGAGTAGTTAATGATGACAGAAAAGAGAAAGAAATCTCATGCTAGAAAAGAAAAAGGAAAAGAAGACAGAAGCTTTGAAAAGCATTGAAAGGGTGATCACATACCAGTTCTACTCGTCCAAAACCTCCAACTCCAAGGGTGTCAATGATGTTGAAATCAGACAGCTTCAGGTTGGCGAAGAAAGCAGCTTCAGCTTCATATCTGGATTTTTTGATGCGAAAAAATGGAAATTTCTTAGAGGTGCAAACACGAGTACTACGTATATCTGTACTGGAATGACATGACTGTGGAACAGGTTTTACCTGCTTAAATTCCATCTTGCTTTTAGAGTCTGTATTTTCTCACACTCATAGTGTTTTTGGTCCCAGCTGTACAGAATAACATAGATTTGAGCTTGTTTTTCAAAGTAGAAAAATACAAAGTACCCACTGCATATCAGTCAAATGACTGATAAGTTTAGTTATCAAATCAAAGTTACATCTTGGTATTTTTCTACGCGTCTTCTTGTGAGCGTGGATTGTTTGACTTGCTCTTTGTTGGTTTTGCTTTGTATATTTTGATTTTGCTTGGTTTTGTTTTTGCCGTTCAGATTTTGGATGGCAGTTTCTCATTAGTTTCCCTTATCCACGGGCTGACAATGCCTCCTATAAATATTTATTAAATGCAACAAGATCGTGGAGGTCTCTGGAACAAAATCACAGCCAGATTTTATGAAAACAGATCCGAAAAGCTGAGGACTGGTGTGCCAGTGTCTGAAATGGATGATTTCAGGAGCATATTCACATCCCTAAAAAGTGTCTTCCTTTCATTTATGCTTACCCTCTGACTTGTAGCCAGCACTCTGAGCTAGCAATCCCAGTGTCTTTACATGTGCAAGTTTCTTATATGAGTGGTGAGTAGCATGGGCTAGTATTCCAAAAGTCTAACTATGAACACATGCAAATCTGACACATGCAAGTGGCCAAAATAAGCTTCTCCCAATGAGAGGAGTGAATATGAGCTGCTTAAAATATCTCCTTGTTAAAGGCCTTGCTATTTTTAGAAAGGGCAGGAAGGCATAAGGATGAAGATGATCTGCCCACTCACTAAAGCCAGGTCAGGGTGTAATTCAGCTGTCTCAAAATTAAAGTGTTTGAATAGCTGTGCATGACCCATGGCCTTCATCACGACAGTACTTGAATCTGTATGATATTATACATAGAAATGATGAATATACTTGAGGTAGTGTCACTAACACAGTCACAGGCATGTTTGGTGTTAAGTTATGTGACATTTTAGTTTTTTCATTACAATCAAACACAACTTGAGGTTCCACTTGGGAGACAAGTGAAACAGCTTTCTAGCCTCTTCACTTTATATCTACAGTTTTAGTATTTTAACAATTGTTGACAGATAACTCCCAAGGTTTTAAAAAATACCATTGTTTTTATTTATTTGTTTATTATGTGAAACCAACTACCTTTGTTCTATGAACAAAGTTAGTTAATTTAAGTGGTATTTGTAGACTTCTCGTATTAACTACAACATTTGAATATTAGCACTAATTCAGGAGCTGGTTTACTACAATGGAACAAAGTAGCAAATGCGCATTGCTAACATTCCAACTGTCTTGCTCTCTGCTTTTGGAAAATTAAAACTTCATCCCATTTAAAAGGCCAGAATTGACTACAACAGGTGCTTTAAAGGACATCTGTTGGGATCAGACCTCTTGACAGTTTATATGTGGTCAAGTATTTCCTGGTAGACCAGATAAACAAATCCTTACTGGCAACACTTTTTTTTAAAAGGTGTCTTTTATATCTAGTTTCTAAAATGTTTTAAAACTTTCATGGTCTTGTTTTTCTATCAGTCTCATAGAACAAATAAAAGTAGGCCTGAAGTAAATTTTAAAAAGGTACATTTTAGCTGAATTCTGGCTACTTGAATTTTTAAAACACCTATGCTGATCAGTTAATTCATATCTTTTTTATTTAAAAAACATGGTTTAGGATTTACATAGAGGAGACAGCCTCTTCATTTAAGACTTTACTAAAGGCTTTGTTGTTATTTATACAACCATTATACTAATTCACAATGAGATTCTCTTGATAATCTATGCGCTCATTGGATTCAGAAAACTTGGGTGCAAAAAGGATAAACTCGGACTATTTTGATTCCATTTTATGTGTTTAATGTATGATGTTATTACTTAAATGCTTCAGTATATCCCCAAAATTTATAGTCCCTATGAAATAATTTTGGGCTTGTAAAATTATTGGAAGTACACCTGAATAAATGGAGTGATTCCTAGCCTTCATTATAAATTAGAGCCACCCATGTTTTTTCAAAAATACTTCATTCTAGCCCCACTACAGACCAAGTGAATCTAGAATGCATGCCCAAATATTTGTATATTTGTAGATTTTCTTGTGATTCTGATGTACAGGATGAACTGAAAACCATGGTTCCAAATCTTAGAAAGCTCCAGGAAGTTCCAAAATCCATATAAGAATTTTGGGGTAGATTAAAATGGGCCAGAGAGATAAGTAGATGCTCAATGAGTCTGGGGTGATAAAGTCTGGGAAGAGGGTGAGGCTCTTACCCTTCTGGTCCTAGAACCATAAGAATGAAAAATAGTTCTATAATAGCCAACAGCTTAAAATTGCTGGAAAAGGCAGATACAAAGCACAAAAATTATAACGTGGTTATTTTATGTTTGGACATTAATAATTATCATCTGGTTAATTATTGGTATTTTAACTAATGGGGTGGACAGATTAAACTTCATCCAAAATAATAACCATTTTCTCTTTTGTCATAAAAATCCACTTACATACATACTTCTCCATACACTACGATCTGACTACGGTTAAGTTAAATACTTCGTGTTTTAATGAAGAGAGATAACATTGTAATCATAATTTGCTAATTTTGTTAATTACTTTGTTAGTATCACTAGGTCAATTTTTAAAATACTACTCAGTTGGTGATATTATCTTGTTATGGGGAGAGACATTTTAAAGACCCTCTGGGGTAATTGTGCTCTCAGTCCTTCATTACATTGCTGTTTGTTTCGGGTCTTGGTTTGTGGGAAATCAATGTAGAGATGTAACCATAGTAGTTTCTTTCCAACCAAGGAAATGTTGGTAGTTGTTAATATTTTACATCCCTTTAATTTTCCTTCTCATTTAGGTTATTTTTAAGTCTCAGAGTCACATGTTCGTGAAGTACTTTGGACATCTTTCCTTTTTAATTAATAACAATTTTTAAACAGAAAACAATTGTATCATGGACAGTTATAATAAGCTAATCTATAAATTAGATTCTTCAGATATTTAACTGCTTTTTTTTTTCTCATAACTAGAAGGGACTCTTCCCTCAGGAATTTATCTGAAGACAGTTTGAATCCATGCATCATTATCTATTGTATTTAGAGTTGATAAAGTTTGAGTGGGGAAGAGAATTAAGTGCATGCTGTTATTCTATTAAATAACCTTTCTTTGTCTAAAGGAAGTTAAGTGTACAACCCATATTCTTAACCTACTGGTGTGGGGTAGTGGGACAAAGGAATTAGGTCCAGTTTCATCCAATTCTAAAATCCATCTTTCAAAGGTGTTTATAAGAGGTCACTTGGCAAGTGTTAATGGGAATTCATTTCAGTAAGAAATACAGTTCTTGATGCGTGGTTGTTTAAAATATTAAAAGGAGTATAAAGCATATTCCCTAAGCATATTCTCTTAGCTTGAGGCATTGATTTTAAATAAATAAATTTTTTAAAAATATATAATTTTTATTATTGTACTATGGGGTGAAATTCATTGATCCTTTTCCCAGAAAAGTGTGAATACTAACATATATGTTGTGCTTATAACTAGAGGAAGCTTACAAGTCCCTAAAATAGATTAACATAACACAATGTGGCTCATGCTTAGCATACATGGGGCTCTGAGTTCAATCCCCAGAACCCCTCTTCTCCTTCATACCTTCCCCCTACAATAAGAACAGCAATAATAGCAACAACAAAAAGAACAAAGACCAAATATCTTTATCACAAGAGACTAGGTAGTTTGGGTGAAGAAGGAGAGGTACTGTATCACTTCTCAAACATTCCTAATGATATGATTCATCTGGGGCTACTGGAAACAATAGACAATTGCTAATCCTCATAGGATACTCTTAAATTGTGAAATACTGAACTTTTCTTTGAAAAACTACCAGAAAGTAACAGAATTGCCTGATTTTCACCTCTTTTTTTCAATTCTGCTTTCAATGTAAAGGAAGTTCCAAAAACAATAAAAGTGTAAAGCTATAAATGTAAAGAAGACACAAGTAACACATATGTACATGGTCTAGAGGAAGGAAAACAGTACTAGAATGATCTCAGTGTCTTCCTTCTCCTTTGTCTCTCTCCACAACCACTTCTCTGCACAGTATCATATTCACATATCTTTAGAAAATAGGTAATAGCCATTAGTTTTCATATTTCTACTTAGTCCATTATTAACAGCCATAACAAAAAGCAAGGAGTAAGAATCAGGTGTCCTTTATTATTAATCACAGTTTTTTTTCTGTTGTTGACATAATATCCCTCAATCAATGATTTCATCATTTAAAATGAAGATAATTGGATGCTGTATCTTATGACTAACCATTATTGTTCCATATATACTAGTAATAAACTATAGAAATGATCCCTGAAAGTATAGTCTTTCTCCCTGTATATTAGAAAATGGATATGATTCATACAGGATAAAAAAAATTATGGGACTTAAAACTTTATTTTCACCTTGATATTCTAATAACAAAAATATCTTAGCATTACCTTACAAAGCTACAATAGTAAGTGCACTTATTAAAGTAAAGGCCAAGTTTCCAAAGTAACACAACTATTGTTCCAGATCAGCAATTAAGAACTAGTTGAACAAAAAAGCAAATGTGGCCCTATTTGATTTAGTTTAGCTTATCTAAATTAACTCCAGAAGTCTACCCTAATTCTTCAAGGAAAACTAAATAAGGTCAGGCATGGTAGTACATGCCTATAATTCCAGCCCTGAGGAGGTGGAAGATTAAGCCTTAGCATCAACTAATCCATATGCAAATCACTTATGACTTTCCTTGAGCTCATTGGCTCTGGAGTGTATTTTTTATTTCCTTTTGAGTTTAGGATTATCAATTCTTGGAAAAAAATCTATAAAATAAAATGTTTCAGTAAAAATACATGC